TTTCTACCTCCCTTCTTTGCTGGAGTCCTCAGGGAAATCACCAGCAGGTGATGAATGGACTGTATCTCACAGTTTTGAAACCAGTTCTAAATAACTAAATCTCAGTGTCTTTACCAGGCGAGGCATGTGAGAGGCAGCTCTCTGGTTAGCTTCTGTAGGTGGCTACATTGTCTGTGCAGGCAGCCTGGATCTTTATTAAATAATGCTGGGCTCAGGGTTAGGTTCGATTGAAGAGATAAATTGGCTCTTTGTGGACTGCTTGGGAACTTAACCTCTCTTTATAGCATTATTTTTCTTTTAAGAGAAAGGATTCCTAAGTTCTAAATAGCTGACTTATTAATGAGCCCTGTTATACCTTGGGGGACTATCTCCTGTATTTATTCTATTTTATATGTGATGACTTACCTCCATAAAAGATTTAGGTCCTTCAGTGTAGAGGCCATTTCTCATACATTTGCTAATAGCACCTCCCCTCCCCCAGCACTGAGCATGGCCCTGAATTCAGGCAGTGTTTTGCACATAAATTATGTTAAAGCTCGATGATGTGCCTTCTCTACAGTTATCTAGGACCCTGAGAAGGAATCCATGGTGTGCATTGGCATTCCTGTTTGTGTTTCAGAACAGAATTATTGGTGCCTATTTGGAGAGCGTTTGAGACTTTCCCCCATCAAACACCTTGTTTTCTCAAGCCACAAGTGAGACTGGATGCCGTCCATTCCTGTGGTGGGACTGTGTGGTATGTGGGTTGAGATAAGCCCAGCAGACAGCAGGCCTCTCCATCCCAGGGTCAGTAGAAGCCTCCTGAAGATCTGTTTAAACACCACTCTGAGTGGCAGTCACCGCACAGATAAGTGTTGGAAATGCATCCCAGAGTCAGTTTTCTTCCCTCTGCACTGATTTGGCTCTTAGTAATTACCCCTTCTTCTCCTAAACAAGGGAAGGCAGATTGAATTTCTGACACGACGGCACAAAGACCATCCATTTATGGAGTCAGGCTTATAGAAGCACATGGGGGACAAATCAACGTCTCGGGGGACAGATCTCTTCACAGTATCTTTCGGTGTTTTTGGAGTGAGTCCAGTAGACTTTGGGAAAATCCAGTTTTCACTGACCTTATCGTAACACAGCCCCTTTGTGCATTTCCTCCCTTGACTGAGAGGAAGAGTCTGGAGTCTGAGCTTGGCGAGCTCAGCTGATGTTCTTACAGTGCTCCTTTAACATCCCTGTGCTGCTGCTGCTTCAGAACATTCATGTTGTCTGTTTTATCATGGGGGCGTCCTGGTGCGGCTCCTAACTGTTGGGTTGGCTGTGTGCTCCAGGAGTCTAGGTGGCAGCCGGACAGCAGTAGTGTCTGTGCATTCACTGTGCACTGTGGGAGAAATGGCTGCATGTCATCACAGGTGACCTCTGCAGCCACCACCATGGGAGGAATGGCTGCATGTCATCACAGATGACCTCTGCAGCCGCCACCATGGGAGGAATGGCTGCATGTCATCACAGATGACCTCTGCAGCCGCCACCATGGGAGGAATGGCTGCATGTCATCACAGGAGACCTCTGCAGCCACCACCATGGGAGGAATGGCTGCATGTCATCACAGGTGACCTCTGCAGCCGCCACCATGGGAGGAATGGCGCCATGTCATCACAGGTGACCTCGGCAGCAGCCACCATGGGAGGAGTGGCTGGATGTCTTCACAGGAGACCTCTGCAGCCACCACCATGGGAGGAGTGGCTGCATGTCATCACAGGAGACCTCTGCAGCAGCCACCATGGGAAGAGTGGCTGCATGTCATCACAGATGACCTCTGCAGCAGCCACCATGGGAAGAGTGGCTGCATGTCATCACAGGAGACCTCTGCAGCAGCCATGAGCTTGGAATGGTTGCTGGGCTACTGCTTGGGTGAGGGTATGGCTTCAGGTCTGGCTTAGGTCTACACAGTGCTGACCAAGCTCATGATGCAGTCTCTGGTGAGGTGTTTCCCAAGTGGTGAGCTGCTACTAACACAACAAGCTGACGTTTCTGGGCCAGGCACTTACCCTCTTGCCTCAGGTTGGAGGGTAGAATAACACCTCATCTTTACCTCCATGCTCCTGTACAACTCAGTGGACATCCGAAGGAGATTTCTACACTGGCCTCTCTGCAGTTGTGCACTTAGAACCCTTGGGGATGCTTGTACTCAGCATAGGGCCACATGCCCCCCCCCCCTGGTTGTTTGGGAGAAGGCTGGATTTAATGGAGTCATCTCTGAGGTGTAGACTCACATGTGGTTTAGTGGGCTGGTCAGTCAGAGGTCAGAATTGAGGCCGGACGCCTTTGTGCTCAATGTAGACTACTCTCTGGAGGGGATGGTGCTTTGGTGAGGAACTCCTCTGGCCAAAGGCAGCATCTAGGAGGGCTCAGCTGTGAACCAGTGGCAGGCAGCCTTCTCTTTCATCTGGGGAATCTGAATGACCCACTGCTCCATCACTGCAGACCACAGATGAACATTTAGGGTGTGGTCTCCTGACCGTGGCCCTGCATGTGCTGTAGCTGCTGGCACTCCTTTGGTGACTGACCTCCTTGTTCCTCCTTCCATTCCCTAACTAGTGGTGGGAACAGGAAGCTCAGCCACATGGAAGTCAGGGAGGGGACTTAGACTGGCTTGAATTGACTGTTGATTGGCATTTTGGAGTTTAGAGGTACTCCTAAGAATGGTGATTTAAAAGAAAAGGTTGGCTCTTCATGCTGTTTGTTCCTACAGTTTATCCTTGAAACAGAGGCCATTCTCCAGATCTTACTGACATCCCAGCACAATGTCTCACTGACCCTCTCAGCACTGGTGGTCATTACAGCCTGCTGGGTTTCATCTTTGCTGCCCAGGCACCAGCAAAGCCTTCCTGAGTTGTTAGATGACCTTTAGAGTTGGTGATGCTGTTCTTTGTGTTGTGTGTTTGGATCCTCCACTGTTTGGAGGTAGCCTCACTATGTAGTCCTCTTGTTAATGCTGGTAATGCCTTGGCTTCTAGGGAGACAAGGTACAGGGCAGCGAGTCACCAACAGGCAAGCTAAGAGTGACTTGGATGGAAGGTCGGTAGCATGAGAAAATGCAAAGAGCTGGTGGGTCCTCCAGGAAAGTAGCACTCAGCCTCTGCCTACCTAGCAGCAGTGCTTGCATTGTCTTCTCTGGGAAATCTCTTGGTGGGTTCCTCGGGCAGACACCCTGAGTGTGTTAGGCAGGAATCCGAGGTGCTTTTGGCTGATCATGTGGGATCATGGTGCCTCTATGTTGTACTCCTCCCAAACTGAGTCTTGGGTCAGGGAGGACAGTGGGAGGCAGGGTTGTGCTTTCATGGAGGGTCTGTCTTCCATGCTGAACTGGGAAACAGGACAAGAAAATAGGCTTTTGATTGGAGCCTGTGACTTCTGCCCAGAGTAAAAGCAAAGGTAGTGTCTCATGTTCATCTCAAGGCCAGTTTACAGGAATCCATGGCTCATGGAGCTCTTCACCCTGGCTCACCCTGTCTCACCTAGCCTCACCTATTGCTCTGCTTGTGTGAGCATAAAGGGACCTTTTTCTCTTGTCTTTACCATGTGGGCAAAGTTGGTCCTCTCTGCTTCTGCAGACAAAATAATGCAGAAGAAAAGGCAGGCAGTCATCGGGGTTGTCATTGTGAATGAACCCCTCACCTTGCACGCGCCTGCCATGTCCGGGACCAGTAGTGACTCCTGCAGAGGGTTGGAGTCTCTGGTTGTGTCTGGTTGGCAGTAGTGCTCTTCAGTGATGAGTGTCATTGTAGGCAAGGACCTTGGCTGACTTCAGTCCCAATGACATTCCTTATTTTCTTAGGCAGAGACCATTGCCTTCCAATTATCCTTGCAGATGTTTTCCTGTTTTCCTGTGTGGCCAGCATCCTTCCACTGACTGAACATTCTGTCCCTCCTCTGCCCACAGAGACCAGTCAGTGCCCTTTCCCCAGAGAGCCTTTTTGGCCAGTGTGCTTAGCCTTGCTGTTTTTGCAGTCAAACACTGTGTTTCCTCCTAGGCTCCAGACTCTCTTTCAGTCCTGAGACTCCTAGAAGAATAGTGACAGAATTCTTGAACATTCTTTAGCCTCAGTCTTGGAAGAGTCTGATTGGTGCTCATGCTCCGTAATGCAGTGGAGGCTCTTCTGGAGTGGCCACCACCTGGTGTGGAAATTGTAGTGAGTGGTGGGGTGGGGTGGAAATTGTAGTGAGTGGTGGGGTGGGGTGGAAATTGTAGCAACTTGCTTTCAGCCAGTAAGGCAGTGATGTTAGCCAGAGCTTATTAAACATGAATTTCCCAAGTTTAGGCTGTTGGGACAAGGGGCCCACTCTGCGGCTGAGAAGCTCGACCATAGCCCTGGCTGGCAGTTGGACCAGTGGACCTGGTCATTTCAACATGGCCTTTCCCATTCTCCCTTGGATTCCTTTGTGTGCTGGGATCCACATGACCTTATCTTTCAGCCTAAGTCGTTACCTCATCTCCGATTGCTTACCCCAGGACAGGCTAGCTCTTGTTGCTGTGAGTTAATAAATGACACTGGAGAACCACTTTGTTTGTGCTGGCTCGCTCAGGTTAACCAACAGAGCCCCTAGAGCATTAGGAAACCCCAAGGAGAGCTGGGCCTGGCTCCAGCACAGTGGCCTCCTCCCTGCTCTATACCCATGAAAACATGTTGGTGACCTGGTCAGCACTTCTCCAGCTGGGGCCACCACACCCGTGTGTTGGGGAAGCTTGCTTGATCTTGGGGAATGGTGGCCTCCCCAGCCCAGGCGGGCTTTCTTGGGCACCTGCTGCCTCATCTTCCCTTAGAATTCTGTCTGGAGGTTTCTGGCACAGAAGGAGGGTAAATGTGGGGGCCAGAGACCTCATTACTTTAAGTTCTCCCTGAAACGGCCCCACTCTGGTCACCTGCAACAGTGTCCAGTGATCGAAAGGCCTGGTAGTGCAAGCCACTCTCAGCCTCACCCTCAACCTCTTCCGTCTTTCTCCACAGAATGAGATGGAAGAGGTGCCCTTCTTCGACGTGCAGCTGCCTTATGAACTGGCAATCAATATATTTCAGTATCTGAACAGAAGAGAACTGGGTCGGTGTGCTCAGGTAAGTGTTTGCTGACACATGTCTAAGGGTCCCCAACTCTGACCAAGTGTGGGGAGCCCCCAGGAACATTGATTCTGCAGAATCACACAGTTGACAGAACTGATGGGTTATATAGAGCTTTTTTGAAGAAAGGCTACCTTGAACGTACAGGGTCTTGTTCCACATCCCCTCTCGATGCTTATCCTCTGGTGACTGTCTTCTGCACCAGGCTGAATTATGACTGGAATGCTGGGCTCTGCCTGCAGCGAACTAGCTTGTGTTAATACATCACACATGTTAGTGCAAAGATGTAGCCCTTAAATCACGCTAGTCATTAGAGCGGCAGCCGAGGGTCAGTCCAGGGACAGATTGGTGAAGTCATGTTTTAGACACATAGTCTAAATTACCCTTTAAATAGCAGAATCACGCTCCTGAGGTGAGTGAGAAGGGAGACACATTGAGGGGCTTGCACAGGAGCATTGCCAGTGGCATGCCGACTCTGGTGCACATGCCTGTGGAGCAGAACGGTGGCCAGGCCTTGGTTGCATGTAAATGTGGTCAGCATGACCATTATGAAAGTCAGAAGTCATGTCATCACTCCAATGTCCCTGGTCACAGTAAAATCTGCACAAGTCAGCTGGGGCAGCCCCTGGTATTGGGCCTTCTTAGGAAGTATCTGCTTCATCGGTTACTTGGAGCTGTTGAGCACCTTTGGTATTCAATCACAGCAGTGCTGAGTGAGTGCCTTTGGTATGTGATCACAGCAGTGCTGAGCACCTTTGGTATTCGATTGCAGCAGCGTTGCTTAAGCAGAGATGCGGCATGTCTATAGGAAATGATGAGATCGGTGAAATATTGAAGCACACTCTGAAACACGTGCCAAAGTGTAAACAGTACTCAGGGCTGTCAGTTGCATGAAGAGTACCTATGTTATCATCCCTATCCCCCCACTCTGGGAAATTTGGTTTATTGTTTTCTAGCTCACACCTTGGCTCTGATCCCAGGAATGGAGGAGAGGGCAGAGTTACATCAGCTTCATGCCAGGGTGGAGTCTTGGAACCTCTGTAGCCAGCTCTGCCCTGCACAGTCGGCACTATTACTTTCGTGGGAGTGGGCTGCTGTTGAAGGAACACTGCTTTCACATTAGTTTCTGCTCTCCCATTTTGTGGAGAGCCATGTGGCCTTCAAGTATGCTGCCCATTAGGGCATGATAGAGTTAGGTGGGGATGGGGGTCCCCTGTGGTACAGTGGGGCTGCACTCAGGAGAGATTAGCTATGCTGGGTGATTATCCTGCAGGTGTGAACATTGTAATTTGCAGCATGCTAGTCTAGTTCTCACTAGAACTCTTCCCTGTATGTTCAGTTGGGGTGTATGTGTGTGTGTGTGAGAGAGGGGGGGGAAGAGAAGGGAGGGAGGGAGAGAGAGAGAGAGAGAGAGAGAGAGAGAGAGAGAGAGAGAGAGAGAGACCTATTTTTGAGAATACACTTAAGTATGGAAACTATTCTTTTTTTTTTTCCCGAGGTAGGGATTCTCTTTGTAGCTTTGGAGTCTATCCTGGCACTCACTCTGTAGACCAGGCTGGCCTCGAACTCACAGAGATCCGCCTGCCTCTGCCTCCTGAGTGCTGGAATTAAAGGTGTGTGCCACCACCACCCTGTGTATGGAAACTGTTCTTAAGCAGATCCCTTCAGTGCACAGTGATAGAGTTGGCTGCGATGGGAAGGCTGGGCTTTCAGAGTCTTTACATGAAGACAACAATGGATGGCCTGCAGTCAGTAGGATTGGCTTGATTTCTGTTGTCGTTAAAATAAACTACAAAGTAATAAATATAAGCAGTGTTTCATTTGCTCTTGTGGTGTGTTTGTTTTTGCAGTAGGGAGAAAGTCTTTCTGCTGAATGGGGTCCTGCTGCTTTATGGGCCCCCTCTGCTCTCTCTCTGTCTCCTGCTCTCTTTCTCTCTTATTAGCTAGGTATGTTGGGAAGTGGGGCCAGTTGTGGGGAATTGGCATCCTGAGCTAGTTTTGTGTTCTTAGAGAAACCTGTTGCTTAGGTCTTTATGCCAAGCTGCTCTCTGACTGGCAGCAAGGAAGCCTGACTAAGGAAGCCTCAGAGATAATCATTTGCCACCACTCTACTGAAGCTTCATGCCTTCAGCCACGAAGTGCTTCCCCTCAGCTGGTACCCTATGTACTAATGTGCCCTCCACCCTTGCCAGCAGCTAACCTCTGGGCACTGTGTGCAGATTGTGTGACTCTGCTGAGAGGGCTTCATTCAGCATGCCATGAAAACGCCAGGACTTTTAGGAAGCACAATATAAATCTGACAGCACTAACATTTTGCTGTTTATGATTTTGTGTCCATCCTTTCCATGCCCACAGACTCCTAGCATTTTAAAGGGTAATATTTTAACATGCATAGCGAGATCATTGCCAGTTTCAGAATTGCAAAATTGTTTGGTTTCTGTGAGAAAACCAAGTGCTGTTGTATATAGCAACATGAATAATTCTGAAGAGGGATGGTTTCTGGTATTTATCAGCTTTCGTTGTTGTTTTTGATAGGCTCTTGCTGTGTAGTCTAGTCTGTCACAGTTCTCCAGGCCTGTTTCAGCTGCCTCGGTTCTGGGATTACAGGCATGGGCCACTATGTCTTCTTTTTCATTTCTTAGATTGATTTGTTGTGTGGATGAGTGTCCTGGCTGTGTGCTTTCACACACACCACTTGCACCTGGCACCTGCAGAGGTCAGAAGGCATCAGGTCCCCTGGAACTGGAGCCACAGATGGCTGTGAGCCATCGTGTGGGCACAGGGAACCAAGACCAGGTCTTCTGCAAGAGGCACAAGTGCTCCCAACTGCTGAGCCACCTTTCCAGCCCCTTCAACATTCTTTTTAAACATTTGAAAGTACCTAGGAATCCACAGGAAGCTGCAAACATCATGCAGGCAGGTGCTGTGTGTCTGTCTTCCTGTGATGGTACCTCATGTGCCCAGTGGTAACAGCATCAAGCACATGGATGTTGGTCCACTCCCTGGCACCTGCTTGGGTTTCACTGGTTTTCCATGCTTCCATCTGTATTTTTAGTCCTGTTTTGTCTTATTGTAGGTGTAGATCTGTGTGCCCACTGCCACTGTCAACAGAGTGCTCACTTTAGGAATCTCTTGTACCCTTCATGGCCATACCAATCTCACCCCTGCCTCCTCTCCACCCCTATCCCCAGCAGCTTCTGGCAGCCTTTGGTCAAAGAAATACATGTTGTAGCGTGGGTATTTTTTCTTTTAAAAAATGATTTATTTTTATTTTATGTTTATTGATGTTTTGCCTGTAGATACGTCTGTATGAGTTTGTCAGATCCCCTGAACAGGAGAGACAGTTGTAAGCTGCCATGTGGGTGCTGGGAATTGAACCCAGGTCCTCTGGAGGAGCAGCAATGCTCTTAACCACAAGCCATCTCTCTAGCCCTTTGTGGATATTTCTTAATGTGTAATTTTAGTAGTTGAGCTGCATAGGCAGTAATATCACAATTTTCAAGTAAAGGGCAGGAAGTTGCACATAGAGATCCAAGGCATGGTGGTGCAAATCTGTAATCCTAGTACTTGGGAGGCCGAGGCAGGAAGACTGTAGGTTGAAGACCACTCTGGGCTACCCAGTAAAACTCAGTCCTAAAGCCAATAAAGAAAAGGGAAGAGGCCAAGATGAACCACTGAAGTTTGTGGTACAGCCAATGAGCAAGAAGTAGGAGGAAGCAGGACAATCTAGTGATTCTGGGGCAGACACCCAGCGTGTCAGTCAGGCTGTCAGCTTTCAAGGAAGGGGTAATGCCATGAGCTGGCCAGATGTCCACCTCTGGACGCTAACATTTGCATGTTTACAGTACAGCTCTGATCTTGAAGATTCTGTAAGTCATGGATTTGTCACCAAGTAGGTCTGAGCAGACTCTCATGCCATGACTCTGTAGGCTTTAGTTCACAGCACTCTTCAGTCTGATCATCCTGGTGGCTGTCAGGGACTTGTGGGAGGGTCTTTGTGCACAAGCACAAAGCAGAAGCAGCCTCAAGAGCCATTTCTAGTTCTCCAACTTCTGTGGCTGTCTTCACACAGGGGTTTAGAGAAAGGCGGAGCCACTAGGAGGGTCCCAAGCTGCAGGAAACAGAGTCAGTGGACTGAGTGGCGGGGTCGTGGAAGGATGTGTACCATCATGCAGGAAATCTTTCATGATTGAAAGATTAGAAAGAGAACACAGAAGATGAGAGAATAAGGAAGAGAGAACCTCTTGGGCACAGCACACATCAGGGACTGCAGGGTTCATAGAGACAAAAGCATCTCTTTTGAGTTTTTAAGAGTTAAATTTACCCGTTCTCACTTTAGAGGGTTTGTTGGGAGCCAGGTGCCGTTCCTGACAGCAAGTACTACAGTGAGCAGCACCTAGTGAGGCCCATGCTTTGTAGAGGGTGTGGGTCCTATGCAGTGAAGACTGGAAGGAGAAAGGGAGGGAGCCATGCAGAAGTCCTGAGGGAGGTGCAGCTGAGGCTGTCCTGCAGAACATCTCCTGTGGATGAGGACTGGCAGGAAGGTCAGAATGACTGGGCTGTGGTATACACACAGTGGCCAACCCAATGTGTATCACTGGATCCCTGCACCTGTGTTCGTGGTAAGAGACCTTTGCAGATGGGTCCTGATGAGAAAAAGTGGCTGTGGGGTAGCTGGACAGGCTAATGCAGTTAAAGGGCAGGACCTCAGATGGGGACAGATATTATAGATGTTCTGGCCTTGAAGGTGGAGGAAGAGAACACACACCAAGAACTATAGATGGCTTCCAGAGGCTAAAAAGATAACTGAAGCCTCCAGCAAGGATGCTGTCTTGACAAGCACTGGCTCCACTTCCACCTCCAGGAGTGTGAGGAGTTTGTGTGGAGCCCTTTGTCTGTGTTCCTCGAACAGCCATAGGAAATCGTTGCAGGACATTGAGCAGGAGTGAGCACAGGAGAGATGGAGAGCCTGAAGGGCATTCTGAGTAAAGTAGGGA